AGGAGCTTCTTGTGACGTACCACCAACAATTAATGATATATTATTCAAAATCGCAGGCTTTGAGTCAGGCCAGAACGATGGAGAATCATTTTGTAAAATTCCTACGTAACTAGTTTCACAGACTGAGACGGTCGGACAATCGAGGGGCGGATATTCTTGGCAAAAAAATATTTGGTATCAAGGGACTACCAAAGTTGTATTTCCGTTAACAACTCGAAATTTATTTTCCCGCAGAATATACTACTTGTTTCCCTGTAAGTAGCATATATAATTCCGTAAAGTATAAGAAATGTATGAGAAAGTAATCAAATGAAGTAAACGAAGAAGATTTTGTTGAAAGGTGGAATGATATAGAAGAATATGTTTAACGGGCACACTAAATAACATTAGTCAATAGACGGTTGAAGGAAAGGGTGCATGTATAAATTCGTCAGTAAGCCAGAAATAAGGGAATTAGGACTGATCCTGATATTTTGAGTCGTCGTGGAGTGGAGAGGTATTACTGACGGGTGACGGCGAGAGAAATATTTTCTTTCTTATGGTGTGGAAGGAGAAGGACGTAATTCTTTCTGCAGGAGAATAATGTGCAACGAATAAGGGAGAGCAGGCCTCTTTTTTTGATACACACGTGCAGTCTCTTCTTGCACATGGATTCGCGGTGAAATTGGGAAATTATTGTAAAAATTATCAGGACCATTAAGTCCATGTGTAACGGTAGTAACATAAAGGACTAATGATAGGAAAAGGATACTGGTATTTAGAGGAAGGCTATTATCGGTGCAAGATTAGTGTCGCTTCCGTGCAAGGAGAGAACTACGAATTATAAATTTTGAATATCAAATAATATTTGTAGAACCAGAGATGTGTTACGTAGTGGTTCCCCGTATTTAACGTACTAGAATTTAATAGCATACAGTCAGGCAGTGTCTACATGTAGAATAATAATCTATGAAATTTGTAAATATATGTTATGAGTAGTATTTTCTTATTTCTTAACTAATGTGTTTTCAAAAGTGTACTATTATTTTGTTATTATGATTATAATATGAAAGTGTTAATGTGTGTGTAGTCGAACGGTAGATTCACCAGCAAGTAATTGAAGCAAAAAGTCGGATGATGATGAGAGTTTTGTTTTGTAGCCGTAATTTCACCCTGCTCTCATAATTAATTAAATATCGAATACCATAATAATAACAACAATAATTAATAAAATAATAATAATCTAATACGCGTAATAGAAGGCTGCTTCCTCGGCAGTTGAATGGGCCACACGATGACTAATGTCTGAATCTACATTCTGGAAATGGCTAGTTTGTGTGAGTCAATTGAATGCGAATTGGTAATAGAATTGATTGACCGCGCGTAAACCATCGGAATTGTTTTCATGCTTACCAAATTGGGGCATGTTAGGAGTATTAATAGTCTATACGTTTTTTATATAAGATGACATTTCGTTTAAAAATTAATGTCGTTAATGAATCCTTGAAGTAAAATGTTTTGTTATGTTATAATTTTATATGCAGTGAGACTTATCTCCGAAATTCGATAAGCATGATACGACACTCTTCTTTGGTTATAATTCCCTGGTATGAAGCGCCCTGGTGTAGCCATCCGGCGCTTCATACACGTTGCATCTCCTCCTATAGAAATCTACACAAAGGGATAAATAAAAATTTATTAATATTCGAACTTGATGTACTAACCCATATATAACTTTGTACACTTTAAAACAACACTTTTGAAATTAGGTGGTGTTTCCCTTCTCGAGCAAGAAGTATAAGCCAGGTTTTGGAAAAATAGGGAATATTTATTATTTTGTTTTTTCAAACTAATCTAAGCAAATTATTTTCCTGTTTTCCAATTGTTTGACGAGTTTGGATTTTTAGAAAAACATTAATTTCGAAGACCAAATCAATTTTCGCATATTCTAGGATAAACTTAATCCCGTATTGTGCGGATAAACGTAGCACATCGCAGACATATTCTGGTCTGTTTGGATTCTGGACATAAATGTAGCGGCGAAGCGGGAAAAAGATCTCAGTTGCACCCATGACATTCTCCATTGAGTAATTGAGCTAAAGAATAGGAAGTAGCATTGAGTCAGTTGACGTGAATTAGATGTTTACGGGTGTCGCATTCATGCGGAGCTTTAGATGTGCAAGGGAGAGGGGGATCCGAGACGCAATTTTGGGAGGGGAATTTTTTTTATTTAAATGATTTTTTGGTCGAACATGTCATATTAGAGATTATACTTGAAATGAAGCAGCTAAACCATTTCTGTTGGCAAAACAATTTTATCGTTATAAATGTTTAATGGCGGAAATATTATTTGCTTGAAAGTTTCGGTGACAATTTAAACTAATTGTTACAGAAAAATTTTGGGAGGGGAAATCTTCCCTCATTTCCTCCCGTGGATCCGCGCCTCTTAGATGACTTAGCAGTAGTTGACTGTTTAATCTCCCGATTGGAATGACCCGTAGACAGCTGATCAACGTCAAAGAACTAACGGTAAAAAATGAAGTTTAGTAGACGTTAGTTCATGTCGCGTGTAGTCTTTAAGTATATC